CATTTCAATCCATTTGAGTGTTTTTTCTGGGAGCCAGGATCCGAACTTAATTTTTTTCCAAAGATTTAGCCAGTTTTCTCAGAACAATTCGTTGAATATCCTTTCCTTCCCTGTTGATTAGAAATGCTACTTATATACTAAATTCTGCAGTTTGCTTCTGGGATTTCTGTTCTGTTCTGTTGGTCTGTGTGCCATTTTTTGTGCCAGTCACTTTAAATCATTGGCGCTTTAAAATACCTTTTAATGTGTGCTCAAGTCCCACCGACACACAGTCACTTTGTTTGATCTTGTTTTGTTTTTCTTGGCTCCTTGTACCTGCTAATTCTCTGTGGTGCTTTCAGTGTGAAAATACTAGATTCAGATGCAAGCCCTTTGCTGTGTGCTAAGGGGGGGTTCTTGTCGGATGACACGCCATGTGATGGGGTCTGAGCCTCAGACTCTGAGGTGATGGTCCGTCGATTCCCTTGCAGCAGGTCATCCAGAGCGTCGTCCACCTCCACGAGCTCCTCAGCACTTTGCAGGTACGTGCGCTTCTCTCATCCCTTCACTGCCTTGCTTCCAGACAAACAGTGAGGAGGGTGTCATTGGCCAGGATCCTTAAGGTTTATTGGTTGCTTATGGGTAAATGGGGCTCTCAGGACAAGAAAGGTTACAAGATGCAGCAGTTAGAGCATCTTGGACCTTCTAAGACCAGAACTGATGAGTTCATGGGGTGCTCCCATGCACAGAGGAAATGGTTTCAGTGTAGAAGGGCTTTGGTACGATGACAAGTTTCCATGTTCCATGTGTCCGGTTGGCATCTGGATAGGCTGGCTCTCACAAAGCAGCTACTGTTGTGGTTTCTGGGGATATCCTTAAATTGTGCTCACTTCCTTTCTTAAAGATCTAAGCAAGCCAGTTCGTACCTCCTCCTGCCTCCAAAACACACTTCCCAGCTCACGTGCTGACTGTGACCAGCACGTGACCCGTTGGACCAAAACCAGAGCCCCCGCAGCACACTGCCATTCCTTTTTGGCCGCTGACCAGGGTTGTCCTGGAGCCTTTTCCCCAGAACCGTTAGAAACCAGAGGGGAGCTGTCATCTGTCCGAGGGATCTCTGCCCGGGCAGAGGTACATGTCCCCGCCTGTCTTGCTCCCAGGGGGTGGTGCTGCAGCAGGACAGCTACATCGAGGACCAGAAGCTGCTGCTGACGGAGAGGGCGCTGACGCGGACGGCCTCCCGGCCCAGCTCCCTCATCGAGCAGGAGAAGCAGCGCAGCCTGGAGAAGCAGCGCCAGGACCTGGCCAACCTGCAGAGGCAGCAGGCGCAGCACCTGGAGGAGAAGCGGCGGCACGAGCGCGACTTGGAGGCCCGCGAGCGGGTGCTGCAGGAGCGCGAGGCGCGGCTGGCGCTGCGCGAGGACGAGCTGTGGCGCAGCCGCCAGGACCTGGACCGCGACCACGATGAGCTCCAGCAGAAGAAGACCGCCTACCAGAGCGACCTGGAGCGGCTGCGCGCCGCCCAGAGGCTGCTGGAGCGGGAGCAGGAGCAGCTGAAGCGGGACGCCGAGCGGCTCAGCCAGAGGGACATGTGCCAGGTACGGAGCGCGGTTGGGGCGGTCACCCCCAGGGCCAGGTGGCGAGGCGAGTAACCAAGAGCCCTCTGTGCTCCGAGCATCCCAAGAGAGTAGGCGGAGCCAGAACGGCTAATTTTACAGCATCTGTTTGTATACCACAAGGGGGCGGGCGAGGCAGTGAGTTTTGCTCTTCCCTCTGCATCACTGAGAGGTTGAGAGCAGAGGGAAGTGGTGCCGAGGCTCTGTCCAGGGGAGTTAATGGCCACCTGGGGCCAACTGGCCCTTCCCCCAGCCCTTGCTGCCTTAGGCTGGAGTGGCCTCAGTGTCTCTGAGGATGGTGGTCAGTTGTCCAGGACTTGGGGAGAAGTCCCTCTGCTTTTTGCCACATGAGAAATCAGAATGGCCCCACCGAAGGGAACTTGTAGCTGAGTGAGGTCAACACAGCGAGGACACGAGCCCCCGGAGCACAGCACCCATGCTCACAGAGAGCAGGTGCCCACGTGAGGGGTCGGTGGGCATCAGCCTCTGGGAGGAGCCCATCCCAGCAAATAGATGGGAGGCAGCCCCTCTGGGAGAGATGAAACTCCTGCTGGGGGATGTTCAGATGTCTGGGCTGTGCATAATGTCTGATTTGTCTCACTGCTGTTGATGAACCCTTTCTTCTTCTGTAGCTGCTACTTTTATGGGAAGGTTTTACATAAATGGGAAGCACACTGACTCCTGAGTTTATTTTGGTGGTTATTCTGAAACAGGGACACTTGTGGCAGGTGGGAAGCTTGGCTGCGCACAGACCCACCTGTCTGTTGATACTTATGTTGCCATTTGTTTTACCCACTGACTTTGGACAGTGAAAGACGGAGAGACAGACATCTTCCAGAGGACGCAGCCTGGCTTCCTGCGGAGGCTTTCACTGATGTGGGGGAGCAGCCAATGGCTCCTCTTGTGTTCTTTATGACATGAGGATGGATTCCACCCCCATCCCAATAGTCCTCAGGGCTTCCACAGGGAAGGCTGCAGGGCACAGAGACAGCACAGAGTAGACTGATTCTCTGTCTTTTGTTTAACCTTTGACTGGGATCCTGGTATAAGCTTGCTCCACCTCCACCCTTACCTGAACAGGCCCTTATAATCTCTTAGCCCTGAGATAACTATCCACGTCCCAGTGTAAATCAGTCTTCGGCTAGCAGCTCTCCCTGTTCCTTCAGAGAGTGAGAGTTCTTTTCTAAGCGGCCTCATCCAATGTAGTGTTAATTCTTTATGAGGCTGATGATAAAAATATTACTGTTATCAAAGGTGATGTTTCTAACACTTTCATAGATACTACTTGGGGGAGGGAGTAAATGGAACTGAGAAGTTGGGAATCTTTTTACAGTGCATTCTCTGAGTCCAAGGAAGTGGGTGCACATGGGGCGGACACAGGCAGTGATCTGGGCAGCGGCCACTGAGTGGCACAGGGGTGCTGCTGACCTCCACATCAGACCCTTCTCTTGTCCCCCTGCAGGTTTCCCATCAACACACCAAGCTGCTGAGAATCCCATCTTTCTTACCAAGTCCCGAGGAGACCCCCTTGCCATCTGCACCCTCGATACCCAAATCAGGGTCCTTTGACTCAGAACTCTCAGTGTCCCCAAAAAGGAACAGCATCTCTCGGACACACAAAGAAAAAGGGCCTTTTCACATACTGAGTTCTACTGGCCAGACAAACAAAGTACCAGAGGGTCAGAGCCAGACCGCAGCATCCACCTCCACCTCCATGTCCACCTCCACCCGCCTGTTTGGGTTAGCTAAGCCAAAGGAAAAGAAGGAGAAAAAAAAGAAGAACAAAGGAGGCCGCTCCCAGCCTGGTGGTGAGTTACACACACCAGCCCAGGTAGTCCCTGGACCCTGAAGAGTCAGTGGCTTTAGCAGCATGGGAGGGGTTAAAAAACAGAACAGTCATACATCTCACCAAAGCCACTTGCTCTGCCCACAAAGGACTATTGGAACTTACCCTAAGAGCACAGATTCAGAGAGCAGTTAAGAACCCTCTCTGCGTGGCAGGTGTATACAAAGTTGAGGGTGCGGGTTGCATTTCTCAGGCACGTGGTGTCCGGTTGAGGGGCTGAAACTCACCTGACTGAGGCAACTGCAGTCTTCCCTCCCTTTCCAGGCGTAGTCCAGTAATAATAATAACTAGTGCTCGGTGGGCACTTTCCAAGGGCTGCTTTACTCCTCCAAGGGAGGTGCATGGTGCTAACCCCTAGACAGGCTGGGAAACTGAAGCTCAGAGGGATTACCTGGTGTTCCTGCCGCCACAGGGCTCGCGATCACACCACGCCACACCAGGGTCTCAGTCCTTCTCATGTGAACTGCTCTCTCCCTTCTGTGTGGGAGACGAAAGAGAGATTCCAGTCCCCAGGCCTACTTATAAACAGCAGGCCTAGTGTCTCTGCAAAGTTAAGAGATAACTGTAGACAGGACAACACTGAGGACCTCATTTGCTCTGTCAGTTGGGAAGCCCCAGCATTCAGGAGTTGATTGCCCACCAGCCCGTCATCTGTTTGCATCCTAGAAGAGGAAGAGAGGGAATTTACCAGTGAAAAGAGCAATTTTTTTCTGAATTTCTCTTTCCGTCTTGGTTTCCCCTTTTCCAGATGGCCCTGCATCGGAAGTACCCACAGAGGGAGAAGAGATCTTCTGCTGACCGCGCTCCTCTGCTGAGGCAGTCGCCTCCTGTCCCGGCCAGCGGTGACAGCCCCACCTCCTGCTGTTCTGTGTGCACACTCCTATCCTGATGCCCTGCTCTGCCCTAGGTCCCAGACCAGAAGAACAAATGGTCTTGGAGGTCAGAGTGGGGAAGGAGGCCAGGATTGGTGACCCCACAACTCACAGGTTGGGGCTGGCCCTACTGAGGATGTTACACCAAGAGTAGTGGCCCCAGAAGCCCAGGCGATGGTTTTGGACATGTCAGGAATTCCTAGAGGCTGAAAGAGTGTTTCCAGATGAGGTCTGAGACTCTGACTGCCTTTTATTTTGGGGAACAGAACCAAAAATCAAAGAGCAGATAGTTTGGACCTGATCTGTACAGGTACAGTACCCATCTGCGTGCACACAGGGAGATGCCAGACGGTGCACGGCCTGCACCAGACGCCTGGTTGGCTCGGCTCGGCTCAGCTCCGTGCAGGGGGCGCTGCCTGGCTCTGCTCAGGTAGTGTGCTCGGGGTCCCCCCAGGCTGGCTCCCTGAAAGCCCACCCATGCACACCTCACCCCTTTGTGCGTGTATGTCTTCTTTCACTTTAGAAGGGACAGCAGATGTTTGTGGAAACCAGTGAGAGAGGCTTGATGTGTTTAAAAGGCACCTCCTTGATTTGGGTGTTTCGGTCACTTGAAAAAAAAAAGTAATCTTATCAAATCCAGAAAAAATCACTTACTGGCTTACAAAGTTACGTGCCCATGTGTTCTGGACAAAGATGAAGTAGAGAGGCCTCCTCACCATTACCCCTGCACTGTGACACTTTTTGGTTGTCACCAGCCATTCAGAAGTGGCCACGGCCTCCTGGCAGTATTCCTGAGACCTCGTGGTGGCTCCCAGGGAAGCCCCTGCTGCCTAGCCCTCGCCGTGGGAGAGGGCGGCCCTGTGGGTGCTCCTCTGCTGGGGTCTGCCTGCTTCTCCTGTCGCTGGGCAGTGCCCTCCGCTGTCCCAGACAATTGGTGGAGAAGTCGGTTCAGGCGGTGATGTGAAGCCCGAACATAGTGGTTTCCACCAGTACAGACCGAGAGACAAGCTGGCCCAGAGGGCATGGCTGGGGAGAGTTCTCCATCTGTCAGGAGGCCTGGCAAAATTTGATTTCTTAAAAACCTTTTTAAATCTGAAGGTCTGTTGTTTATTGTACCCTGCCCCTTGGATTTGCCACCAGTGCTGCCTGTTTGTTCTTTTCCTTCTCTCCCTCTTTTTCTTGTCCCGCTGTGTTTGGATCTGTATTTCCTGAGGCTCGTCACCAGCCGGGAGGTGCAGTGCATTTCCCCCGAGGCCCCTGCACCTGCCATGAGGGGAGACCCTGGAAAATTCTGTGCTTTAAGTGTGGCCTTTGGTTCCTGCTCTGTTCCCCTCAAGAGCATGGGTCTTTGAACATACTTTTTAAAAACAAAGAAAAAATCTGTCACTTGGTGCTTGTTGATGAATTGCAAGCTGGCCTTGCAGATGGAGATATTTATCTTTCAGTTTATTTGAAAGAGGTCTGGTTTAAAATTTTGAGCTTAGATTTGTTTTATTTATTTGTGTGTGTGTGTGTGAGTGTGTGTGTGTGTGTATTTTAAGGGTGAACACACCAGCCCAGTGGTGCAGCTGTCTGGTCAGTGCAGGGAGTGAGGGGCAGCCCGCGCTGCTTTGACTCCTCTGTGACTGTCAGAGGGCCCCGAAGTCCCAACAGAAAATTAAGATTGGTGAAGGGGGTTGTTTCCTTCCCTCCTCCTACCCCCACTTTATGTTTTGACCAAGGGATGTTGTCTTCTTTGCTTGCGAGTTAAGAAACTTACCACCCATGGGCTCCATTTGCCTAGTTTTATCATGGAGATGTCTTACCCTTCAGAAACACACTTTAGCAACAGAACCAGATGATTTTCTATTGAATCATCATGTGCTCCCCTCCCCTGCCCAAGACCCTTAGCCAAAACGTTGCTTCTTGCCACCAGTCTCTTTAGCTCTGAGTGACAGCTGGCCTGTCAGGTCCACATGGAGCTCGGTGGTCTGTCCTTGTCACTCCCTTGGCTTTCCCCCTGTGGGTCCCTGTCTCACAGAGAAGAACTCTGCTGAAAGGAAGGGCTGGTGTGTTCCCCTCTGTCTGTGTCCCCGGAGGCCAGGCCTCCCTGTCTCTGGGCTTGAAACCAGGGCTCAGTGCTGGTGGGATCTGCTCTCACACAGCCTCTTCACAGAAGCATCTAGACACTGAGTTTCTATACATCAGTGCACAGCTGGGTTTCGATTTTAAAGTGTCTTTTACTCCCAGCTAGTCAGTTATAAAGTTTCAGTTGCCTTGAGTGTTTGGTGGTA